AGGGAAGTGGTTGAGTCACCATCCCTGGAAGTATTTAAAAGACGTGTAGATGAGGCGCTTAGGGACATGGTTTAGTGGGCATGGTGGTGTTGGGTTGACGGTTGGACTCGATGATCTTAGAGGTCTCTTCCAACCTTAATGATTCTATGATTCTACGATCACGAGAAACCAGCTATCCTTGCTCCAGAGGAGGAGCAGCTCACTGCAACCCATTCCCAACAGCATCTGATGGACGTTTCATAACCTCTCAGGCAAAGCTGTCATCGCTGTGAGGAAATGTTTCTAGTCTCTTGCCTAAATCTCCCTCATGGCAGTTTAAGTCCGTTGCTTCTTGCCTTGTCTCCTGTGCACGTGGTGAAGATTTATTCTCCTTGCTTTTGTGGCTGCGTGGTTGGAGACTGGCCCAGCTGCTGTCGGAAAGAAGCCTCTGCTGCTGGGATGGGACCGCATCGTTCATGCATATGCTTAGACAACTCGTTAGAAAATGTCTGCACTGTGTGGTGAGACAGGGAAGAGCTGTGGCCCAAAGCAGCCTGGTTGCAGGGACCGCTGAGACACAGGCTGCTGAAATGCTTCTGAAACACGAGCAGAAGCGCTCCTGTAATGCTTTGGGTGCCCCTGCGCTCAGCACACCGGCTGCTGGCCTGGCCGCTGCCGCTTCGTGGAGGGACGAGAGGACAACAGCCCCCAAGGTTTGTGCCATCTTTTAATGCCCTGCTGCTCTCCAGCCGGCAGAAAGAGCAGATAACGCTGCTGCTGGCATCTCGGGGATGAAGCGTGGTGCTTACCTCATCCTCTGGCTGTATCTGCAGGAGGAGGAGGGGAGGATCGAAGGGCATAATGAGAGGATTACTTACAGCCAGCCTTAAACGAGCCCTGCAGCTCGTCTGTGCTGCTTTCAGAGCTGGGGAGGGGGGGGAAGGAGGGATAATTTAGAAACACAAGGCTGGGAAGAGATTTAATTAGGACATTGAGCTGCTCTCTCCTGGGTGCCAGCCCACCACCCTCTTCCAGCGCTCGGGGCTCCCCTTTTCCTCCCTCGAGCATGGACAGGGCTCAAGTATGCAACTGGGTCAGTGCCTGCTTATTTCAGCATGGCATCTGTGATTAAACTGTCTCTGAAACAGTGCTGGGATGCACCTGCGACTCCCACCCCCCTGCGCTTAGCCATGCAAGAGCCCGGCGATCCCTGCAGGAGCTCCCACAGCTCGTGTCGCTGGGGCTGCGTGGGCGACAGTAGCGAGCCTGTTTCCTGAAGCCTCTCAGATCATCATCAGCTCAGTCCCGTGTGGTCACCTCTGGAGCTGGGCTGGGTACACCCCCTCTCCGAGCTGCATTTCAGGGCGGGGGGAGGAGGGACACAGGCTGGTTGAGTGTCTCTACCATTTAAACGATGGTGGGTAGCATCCCTAGCATCGATTTTCTTCCTAGTACAAATCCTGTGTTACTCCCCCTCTGAATTTGCGTTTCTCCTTGTCCCCCTGCACCCGCTTTGTGGGAACTCTCCTCCCAGGGCACAACAAACCAGCGCTGTCCTGGTAGCTCCTCTACCAGTCCTCCCAGTCCGGCAGCGTCGCTCCTGAGGCTCGGCCATCCCTGGCCGCTGCCTGCCCACTCCCACGCTGTTAAGCGGGGGATTGTCATCCAAGGATCGCATTAACCCTCTTAGCCCAGCCCAGGAGCACGTGTGCCGGTGCTAGTCATGCCCCGTGGCCCCTAAAGCCCTTCCAGGTTCCCGGAGCCCCAGCACTGGCCGTTACGCTGCTGACCTACATACTTCACTGGTGCATTGTAATTAGATTGACTTTCATGCGGTCCAGCTAGGCTGATTAGACCATTTCCATGAGTCCCAGAAAATATGATTATTATTTTTTTTTTTTAAAAACTAATTTGGAGAAAGATGCTCCTATGGCAAGTCGGTGTGATATCAGCGGCAGCAAACTGCTGTCTCCCTGTGCTCTATGAAATGGGGTTTTGTGAGCTGCGCACGGGGGTGGTTTGTTTTTAAATCTGGCTGGATCACGCGTACGGGGGTACAGATGGGGGAACTGGTGGTTTTTTTTCTCCTACAATTACAGGCTGCCATCTTAAAGCACTGCTGGTGGTGTTCGGTCTGGATATTTTTTTTTCCTGCCGATACAGTTTTCAGGAACAAATCATTGTAGGAGGGCTCCCTTGGTGGCAGTGGCTGCTGACAACCCCCCCTTTTTTTTGTGTGCCTTAATGGGTAGACAATTTAAAATCAATTAATATGTGTTCTGCACCTGCGCAGGGCATGTTACTGCAATAGGATGGTGTATGGCACAGATGAACCGACCAATTTTGTAATCCTATTTTTAAAAAAAAACCCACAGGTGTGCTTGAGAGGGCACGCTCGCCTCCCAGGCTGCCGTTAATTACGTTTCAATCCTTTAATTCCCTGCCAGCCGCATCCCCGTCACTCCCTGCCTCTCCCCGGCCGGTGCTGGGGGGTACCCCATATCCACACTTGCTTTTTGTGGCGCAGCCTAGCAGTAATTTCTCGGCATTTTTACAAATGAGCGTTTTAAATAGATTAAATCTCAATGTTTACGAGGCTCATTCAACAACTCTTGGGTCTTTGCCAGTTTAAAAGGCCGACCGAGAGCCCACACTGGGTGAGCCCGGCCCCGGTGACAGCCCAGAGTGTTTTGTGATGTGACTTCTATCGCCTTTCCTCCAAAAGAGAACATAAAAATGTCTTGAACCTCAGCCTGTCCTGCTTTGTTAGGACTTTCACTGCTCTTCCCCAACCGTGCGCTGGGCTCCCTTGCTCCTGATCTATCACTACAGTTCTTTCTGCTTGCCTTTATCCTGCTGACAATGGATTTATTGCAAATTAAAAGCTGACAATTGATACGGAGAGTTAAGTCTAGCTGCTTCCCTGGATACCTGTTGAATATTTTATTTTTTAATAAAGAATGCCTTTGTTTTTATGGGAAGGCAACTTCCCTAGTGAGCAATAATGGTGAGGATGGGGGTATCTATGGATTCTCTCAAGTGACTCACGCTTTAATTCCCATTATTTGCACTGCTTCACAATTTCTCCCACCCATTCAGCTCATAACCCTTGGCAGCTTTAGCGAACCTGCCCTGGTGCTGCTCAACATCGTCCTCGCTGTTGACAAAGGGGTTCAGGCCCGTCTGGGTGAATATAGTCATATTTGTGTAGCTGTAAATCTCAAGTTCCAGGCTACCTCCGCACGGCTGCCCCAGCCCCTTTGGGGGGGGGGGCCCA